CTCGGCCGCCGCCGCCCCCTGTCCCCCGCCACCCCGGCCTACCGCGCGGGCTGGAGTCCCAGATCCCGGGCCCTTCCTCCTTCTTTCTCTTTCCCCGCCTTCCCGGTGCTGCCACAGTTGCGGTCGGAGGATCCCGGCCAGTCAGCTCGTTCCGGCCTCGAGCCTCCCCCTCGCCCCAAATAAACACCCCTCCCCACGCCTCGAGATCCCGGACTGCCCCCTTCCTCCCTCGGCCAGGCTTGTGAGGGACTGTGTGAAGGAGCGAGCGCGGGCCGGCGGGCCTGCCACCTTCAGCTTTCTCAAGAGATAGAACTGGATAAACGCAACTGCCCTAAAACCCAGTCTCAAGTAGGGGGCGAGAAAAAAGAAATTGTTCAGGTGGGCTTGAAAACTTACCTTTTTCTTGTAAAAAAAAAAAAAGATGATATCCAATAGAGAATTCATAGCTTTTGCTCTTTTAATTCTGATTTACTTTGAAGAATCTTGTTCTGTATTTCCCACATGCAAATTGTACTTCAAAAAAGATCCACTCTGCTTCCTGTTGCAGAATCTACGGGGAGAGAAGACACTCCAGATACAGCCAGCTCTTCTACGAGGCCTGAGTTAGAGGCTTCGAAATGGCCTATATACTATTGGCAGAAAACTTCTTACTTCTGCTCTTAGAAATTTCTAGGATAAAAAGGAAATATCCATACTATTCTGTGATAAGAACATCTCTAAATAGCCAGCTCTATTACTCCTAAAACGTTCCCTGGCAAAGCATTTGAATTAAACACTTCCTCCTCCATCAGATATTTATAGGAACTTTATAAAAGGTAATAAATGCCCAGCCATCGGAGGGATAAGTACGCCACCTTTCCCACCCAACCCTGAAGGATTTGCTGCATGAGATAGTGAGCTCAGTTCATCCAGAATCATAGCAAGCCATGGTCTAATTAATCCCAGACAAGACTGTCAACAGGCAGATTCTGCCCACAGAGCTCTTTTCTCCTCCTAGTTCATCCTAATGGCTACCTCCCACTTCAGTTACCAAGGGCTCCACCCTTGCACCCTACTCCAAGGGGAAAAGCACACTTTCAAGGTCCCATTGAGGTATAGACTACTAAAATTTACAAACTTCACTGTCTTTTAAGTCAAATATTTTCTAATGACAGACAAAGCTCTGAGCTCAGGTAAAGGCTCAAACTGACGTGATCTAATTGAATTCTAGCTTCATGATTTATGTTTCTGTAACTTTAAAGCAAGTTTCTTAAGTTCTCCTAGTTTCCTATTCTAGAAAAAGTGTTAGATATAATAATTATTATACATCCTAATGATACTGATAAAATGTATTATAGTATAAATAATTACAGTGAAGCCTACTAACTAAAATTTCTATATTTTGAAGTCAGTAGTCACTAAGAAAGGGAGAAGACAGAAAATGGAAAGAAAAACATTTTAACATTTTTTTATTTTTAAATCCACTCTTAAGGTATAATTTACATACAATAGAATGCACCATTTTAAAACATACAATAGATGACTTTTGACAAAGCTATACACTCATATAAATGCCACCACATGGGAGAAAGTTGCTAATTTTATTCTTGTACTCAAAGGACAAGATTTTGGCTTTTTTGTGTATTCTCTTCATATTTATATTCTATTTTTTTCCCTTCTGTTCTTTATTATTTGGTATCATTATGTGATTCATTCTGAAGGTATGAGTATGGTTTATATACTTCTATAATTATTTATTTATTAATTCAACAAATGTTTATCGACCACTTAAAATATACCTGATGCTATCCTAGGCCCTGGAGATTTAACAGTATTTTTTGAAGACACAAATCCCCGTGTCTTTATAAATTGTGTTCTAGTACCTATACTAGAAAACAGAATGAGTAACTCAACTGTGCACTATGTTAGAGAATGTTAAGTGCTAAGGGTAAAACTTAAGCAGAGATGGAGGAGTAGGAGTCACAGAATGTGAACGGGTGGGAGCTGCAATTCTGGGAAGTTGGAAAAGTTGTTACTGAGAAGACACATTTCAGTAATAAGCTGAAGTGAGTGAGGAGGTGGCCATGCCTACGTAAGGAGGAGGAACAGCTAAGACACAGAAAGCAGGCTTCCCAAGGCTCTCGGGCAGGAGGACGCCTGATGCCGAGTAGAAAGTCACAGCAACAATGGTGTAAGTGTCACAAACACTTGTGAGAGCTGAACCCTAGCAGAATGAGATGACAAGAGTGGAGATGTGGTGAAGGAAGCCGTTTGGTGGGATTGTTGCCGAACTTCAGCTTCTGTGCCACCGTTGTCAAATTGAAACTCGGAGACAGAGTTTGGATAAAGTAGGCAAAACAGCTTCATTTCCTTGCCAGGCAAAGGAGGTCACAGTAGGCTAGTGCCTTTAAGTCTGTGAGCCTGATTTGGAGAAGGTGGCTGGGGGCTTTATAGTAAAAGGCCAAGGAGCAGTGCGCCTGGTAAGAATCAGGGCAAACCCAGAGCTGCATTTTCTTCTTTGATACAATCATGCTGGTGTCAGGGAAAATCTGGTGACTTAATTTATTTTATTTTTAATTTTACTTGATAATTTGCCCCTGATTTCTGACATCCATTTTGATGATAAATCAGTTCTGGCCTTATTGAATCTGTGTTACATATTTTCTGGACCAAGAGTCAATAGCATAAAGTCACTCCAAGTAACTTATGAAATTTTGATTTGTTATTTATATTTGTTAAATAGGTTATTTCATTATAGATGCTCTTTAACTACATGGAAAAGGCTTTAAAATTAAAAAGGAAAATCAGAAAATATAATAATATTGTAGGATGATTGAAATTATATAGATATGTTTGTGTATAAGCATAGAATAAAGTAAAACAATGAGAACTATTTGTAGGTTGAAATTCTGAAATATGTTTTTAAAATTATGTTTTAGAGAGAAAAATTGGAAGAACACAAACTTCTGGAAGACAGTGGTAGGAAAATCAGATATGAGAGAGGACATGACACAAGTTATAGAAATGCAAGAAGTAGCACAACAGGTTGGATTGATAGGATGTGAAACTTAATACCATGCACCTGTTATAAGTAATGGGTTATTTCAAACATAGAGCAGTTTTCCTCAATATTGCTAGCCTCAGTGATTTACTCAAATAGCTTATGTGCCCTAACTGGCAATGGAGGTAAAATTACAGCCACAATAAACCTAAAGATGGAAAATTTTTTTTTTCTTAAGGCATAATCCAACCAAGATACTGAAGAGGTCAGGAATCATGGGTACAAACTGGTGTCCAAATCAAGAAATGTGTTTGTTTAGGAGAGAATCTCCAAAAGTATCATTTCTAAATTATACAGAGATACTATTTTTCAGTAATTGAGGTGCATATACATTATATGCACATATATATCCTATACAGATGTATATGCTTAATAAAGTATCTATTAGAATCTCAAATTGTCATATGAAGAAAGAGCTTCAAGACATTAAAGTGACCTGATCAAAGATCGTAAAGCCAAGTCATTAGTTCTCAGACCTTTGCAGAGAGAACAGTCACTTGAGGTTTTTTTTGTTTTTTTTTTTTGCTGAAAAGTGTTTTGGCCCACATAGGAAAACCTTGAATCAATGCCCATGGTTAAAGCATAAATGTCAACATGAAAAAAAAGTTTCCCAAGTTAGTGTAATTCATGAAAAGCTTTGAGAAATAGAGTTATAGTGTTGATGGAATTAGAAATATGAAAGTTGTAATTCAGAGTCCAAATACACTATTATTGCAAGTTACTGTATCCTCAGTTTTCTTTGCAGATGAAACATTTCTCAGCTGTGTCTGCCTTATATTCAGTGTAACTATGGAGATGAATAGCAGTGTGAATGAGTTCATTCTATATGAGTTAACATGAGATGTTTTAAGGGAGAAAGTAGTATTTGTGATCTTGCTTCTAAACCTCACAACTCTGTTGGCAAACTTCCTTATTGTGATGACCATAAGACATAGCCAGACACTTGGGAGCCCCATGTACTTCCTCCTTTTCTATTTATCCTTTGCTGATTCTTGTTTGTCAACAACCACTGCTCCTAGATTGATTGTAGATTCTATACCTGAAAAGAAATTCATCTCCTACAATGAGCGTATGACTCAGATCTTTGCAAGTCACATCTTTGGGTGCATGGAGATCTTGGTGCTCACCCTTATGTCCTTTGATCGCTATGTGGACATTTTAAGCCCCTGAGATACACAACCATCATGATCCAGTGTGTCTGTTGTGCATTGGGTGGGGTCTTATGTCCATTCTTCAACACAGATCCTCTTGGCTCTGAAATTACCCTTCTGTGGGCCCAATGTTATCAATCACTATTTCTGTGATATGCAGCCTTTGTTGAAACTTGCCTGCATGGATACTTACGTCATCAGTCTACTCATTGTGTTTAACAGTGGGGCAATATGCATGGTGAGTTTCACAATGCTGCTTATCTCCTATGTTTTCATCTTACATTCTCTGAGTAATCAGAGTGCAGAAGGAAGAAGGAAAGCCCTCTCCACCTGCACCTCCCACATTATTGTTACCATTCTATTCTTTGAACCATGTATATTATCGTACACTCAACCTCTATCTGTATTTCCAGTGGACAAGATGGTGGCTGTGATTACACTATTGGGGCACCCTAACTCAACCCTCTGATTTATACTCTGAGGAAAGCAGAAGTCAAAACTGCCATGAGGAAGTTATGGTGCAACAAACTCTGACTTGAGGTGGCAAAGAGCAGAAGATGCCAATTGCTGTCACAGTTTAAATAAAATTGGATTGATAGAAAAGACAAAATGTTCTCATTCCAATGTGGACAATGTAATCCTCCTCCAGTGGGACCTTTGGGGGAGTAGGCAGATGAGCACAGAGCAAAGATCTATATTATTTTAAGCCAATGTCTCATAGAGTGACAGACCTTTAAGTACAATCATATTTGTGAAAACACAAGCCTTTCCTATGTATCTGCTGTTTGCGTTGATAGCTCTACTTTTTAGAAGCTTGTGAGCCAGATCCTGTTGTTTCCGTAGTTTGCTTTCTTGATTTTTATATTAATTTGCTTTGGATTTTTCTTTTTCATATTTCTTATTCAAGTTTGATAATTGAAGGGGAAGAGCATGAATTGCTTCAGGTAAAATAGATACCCTCTCCATAAAAACCACACTTTCAATAAATCAAAATGTTGCAAAAGGTAGTTTTATTGGCAGGTAGTGAACAACCATAAAATCCAGGTCATGTAATTTAATTTTGTTTCATTTTAAGTAAGCAAAGAGAAGATTTGAAAGAAAAAAAAAGGAGAGAGAAGATTTGGGGACATAAAGACAGGAAAGCAGCAGTTGACAAGATATATGCATTAGATCAGGTCACCGCCTCAGAATTTTATTATTGAATTCATTGTTTCCAAACCCTCCCGGACCATCCTACCTCTTTGATTAAGGGGTACATCATAGTAGAGGGAGCTATTTTCCCTTTATTAATCCTTAAGTTATACTTTCACTTGTTAAAATTTTAAACAGTTCAAATATATTTGATGCCAAAAGTCTTCCATTTTTTTCCTCTGGATAAATAAGCATTTGCCTCTATCTCTTATGCTCCTATATTACTATGTGGCTTTTCATATATATATATATTTTTTTTTTTTCATATGTATACACACACACACACACACACACAATTAATTGAATAAGGCAATCCTGGATTATATGTTATTCCTGATCTGTAATCTGATCATTTAAACAAGTTTTCACTTGTGTTATTTCATTTGACCTGCACATTTTATTTTTTTGCAAGGTAAATGTGGTAATTTGCTGTGTCCTTTTCTAGATACAAAGTTTGATTTGTGCTACAGGAGTTTTATCTAAGACAGGTGAGAACTAGAAAGGGATGTGACTAGATAGCCTCCCTCTGTAGCATTCATGCTACATGTCATATAAAATATTAAATACAAAGATGCATCTTAGAAAAGAGAAATTCTGAGCCATCAAAAAAGGATGATAATTGATACCTTAAACTTCTGTCCTGACTTCAAAATCAAGTTCTTTAAACTGCATGTTGAGGCTAATATCAAAGCAGAAAATAAATGCCTAAATAAATCATACTGAAGAGGAACAAAGGAACAAAGACTAAATAAAGTCAGAACAAGAGAGAGGAGAGTGAGAGTGAGCATACATGAGGGAAAGAAGAGTCAGGGGGTAGGATACAGAAAGACATAGTAAAGGGAGGTGAGCAAAAAATGTTAGAGAGGGTAGTTTGACCCAAGATTTCATCACAAAGTTCAGCTTCTTTCCCCCTGACCCACGTCACACCATCACTTTCCCCCAAAGCAAAGAGGGAATGTGGTCATAAGTAAAAAGTTGTCAAGGGTCCTGAAAACCCAAGTGTGTAGAAAGTGCAGTATTATCATGGACTTTTGTCCCAGAAACATCACCACTGACCTAAAACTTCATATGAGAGGATTCCGGAGATAGAAACTTCTACCAAGCTGGCCTCAATGCCATGGTGCAGTCATTGCCTCGTTTGTGAGCAGAGATGCATTTGAGAGACGGTGTACTTTTACACGGAGGTCAGGGGGGCTTAGGAACGCTGGGCCATCACAACCCTTCACTGGTGACAATACCGCCCAGGAGCTCCTCTGCTTGTTAGAAGACACACTGAGTAAAGATTCTAAGACAGAAATTTTCAGAAGGCAATTGGAAGAATTTCAGACAGATTGAAATACTTGCTTCTTTTCTTAGGACCAAATAGATGACTTCCAATCAAGTATATTTTTCATATCTTCAACTTTAATTTACTTACAAGGTGAATTATATGAAGTCTGAATAAAATACACAAACTATACTTCATTAAGATTTATCAGTGCCTTCTACCACAAGAGGTTATGGGACGTAAGGAGATTTGGGGAAAGGAACTCTTCATGTGGCCATACTTCTCAGGTTTCTCCCCAGAAGCCCTGGATTAGAGAACAACAGTGTCTGTATTGGAGTAGAGAGGAGGGTCATGTAAAATGGAGTAAATTTCTTAATTTGGTTCTTGCATACTTTATGGAGAAAACTATTTCTGTGTTCTGAGAAATGTCTATGAAGCCTTGTCTCTTCTCACAATACCTTTTTTTGAAAATCATGAGTTTAAGTGTTTTCTTTTTACTACATTGGGCATTAATTATAACTCCCACAAAAGTTTACATTTCCTAAGGCAGGGTTTCAGCCTCAGGAGCTCCAAGTAAACTATTTCTCCCAGCCCAGTTCCAAAGGATATTCCATGAGCTACCTAGCTCACACAGTCCAGGGACAAAAGCAAACTTTGGGGCAATTAGTTAAACTTCAACCCATATGACTTGATATGAGGAAAATGCTCCCTTCTCTATAGGATTTCCTTAAGCCCATCTCTTCTAGAGGCATGGAAGCCTTTGGAGCCAGTTAAAGACTCAGATAAATGAAGCATGTGGTAGACTTGAATCCTGGCCTCACCACTGCTATGTGAATTTAAGCCAGTTTCTCAACCTCTTGAATTTCCTATTTTCTTTTTGTAAGAAACATCTAGTAATAATATTTATTTTACATTATTAATGTTCAGTTCTTACATTTCTAATCTTACCTATGTTTTTAAATCAATGTAGAGAGTAAGATAAGGAGGAAGGAAAATGAATGGGATTCTTGAATACTTGTCTTATGTATTTTTTCTTTTTTTAAAGAACATTTTATTTTATTTTATTTTATTTTATTGTTTTCCCTTAATTCAGAGGATTGAACCCAGGACCTCAAGCACACCAAGCACATGCTTTATCACTGGGTTATGCTCTGCCCCACTGACCGACCCCTGCTTTTTCTTTTTCTTTTTTAAAATATATGTCCTTCCACTTGCAGGAAAGAGAATTAGATCTTTGCTTTTGGATGGTTACAAGCTATTCAAGGTGAGATAGATTACATTACAAAAGTGCTTTCTCACATGGGAGACCATGTTACAACCCAGCACTCTGGTCTAAGAACTGCCTGTAAGGTATGACATGGCCTTCAGTGACGGTGAAGTGAGAGGTCCAGGGTATGTTTAGGTGGAAGGGGAGAGGAGGGGACAGGAATTGAGGTTGGAGTATGCCATGGATGGATTACACCATGCTTTGCACTTTTGCTGCAGGGCTAGTTGCAACTAGCAAGCCCAAGTGTCTCAGAGAAACATTGTAGAGAAAGTAACATTCCAATGCCTGGCCTTTTTTTGTTGCAAATGGACTGGAAGAATCTGAAGAAGGGTTTTAGGTGTGTCACTTAAAAGTATTTGAGCCTCAGCTTCCCCATCAATTGAATGGGAATATGAAGACTTACTTTTAAAAACTTTCTATAAATACTAAAATGTGTAACATATGAAAAGAAAGAATGCCTGGCTCAAAGAAAGTACAGGAAAAATATTTATGTATTTTTATCAATTCTCCTTAAATATTACAAATAGAGAAAGTGAAATAAATCACCCATGTCACATAGTTAATCAGTAACAGAACTGAGCCTGGAATCCAAATATTTTAACAAGTCTTATGAATCTAAATCTTATTAATTTTAATATGACATACACAGTGATTTTATAAAATTTCCCAGCTGGATACATAAGAACAGCCATGGAGAGGGCTCCTGCATTACACTCCCCAGGCCCAGAGCCCTGAATGAACACCGCCTTTGAGGGAATGGCTAAGCTGTTCAGTTCTGGTGGCAGAAGATTTTCCAAAGGGCAGTTTCAAAGGAGAGCATTGAGCTGGACAAAGGCAGGAAGGTGAGTCAGTGATCTCTGGAAGTTCTTTCAATCTGAGTGAATTGACTCTGAGTGCATTAAAGTTCATTGCAGACTGAATGATTAGATTACACAACTGGAATCCGGGTTCTGTTATATCAAGACCAGAATTTTACTGAATGCAGTTGGCAATGGTTATTCCATCACAGAAACTGTGAAAATAGGGATAAATGACAACTGAGGTTTCTACTATCTTGAGTTTGTCCACCCCTGCCTCACATGTAGTCTTGGGATAAATTAGGGCCCTAATTTAAACTCTGTTCAATGAAAGTTGTAGCTTCCTAAAGTAAGGTTTCCAATGAATAATACAGACCTTTTGGCCAGATTAAACCCACTCTAACATCCAAATTTGAGGTAGTAGACAGTGTTATTGAAATAAGAAATATCTTCAGGATAAAAGTCAAATCACTAAAAGCAAAATTTAATTTTGTAGGAGATAAAATTGAGAATAAAAATGAGAAAAATAGTGGATAGACAAAAAAAGTCTTTATTTTCTATTAGAATTTTTAGACATTAGATTTAGATCTGGGGAAATTAACTAGAATACAGAATTATTTTGATTACTCTGGTCTGTGTTATATCATAGCAAGAATTATAGTTTCATCAATATCAAAATGCTAATACAAGCAATAACTATCTCACTTGGCCAAATTGAAATATTAGTGTATTAATGTTAAAGATAAGTTTAAATTTGAATATGGAAAGATATCTCACTTATTCATTTATTCAACAGATATTTATTGAGCCCCTACATCAGGCTGTTCTAGACACTAATTTTACATCAATCAACAAATAAAAAAAAATTCCTTGCTTCATAGCTTACATTATATGAGAGAAGGCAGACAAAAGTAATAATAGTAAGTAAACAAAATATATGGTATATTAGAAAGTGATGAGGTCTCTCAAAAAATACGAGTAGTTAGGGAGGGGGTTCATGAAATCCAAGGTGCAAGTTGCTATTTTTAAACACTTGAAATAGAGATGTGATACAAGAACACCTACAGTTGAGGTTCTGTGAATGCTCTAATCCCTTCTATTCCTGAGTCAAGATTTTTTTCATCAGTCACTGAAATCTGCATCCTAAATATACAGGATTTTTCATGTGAAATAGTTTGAGTAAGTTTCCATTTCTAATCTCTAAGATAGTTTTGTCTTCCCTCCACAAAGGTTTTCGAAAACATCTAATGAGTGGCAAGAAGTCTGGGAGATAATGTCTCATTTCATTCTTTTTTGACATTTAAATTACAAGTAAGCATAGAATTCAACTCTTTTCAATTTACATTTGAGGATGCTGAGCTGCCAAATCAGAGTTCATAAGTAATTTAAGGGGAAAAACATTATTTCCTGACCCTTATGTTAATGCTTTTTACACTACATTGCTTTACCACTTGCCAAACAAGACTCACCCACATAGAGTGTTTGTCTAATAAGAAAATTTGAATTTTTAATCTTAACTTTAAATTTTTTCAAAGATCAATGTTTTATTTTTCATTAGCCACTATTATTCTGTTCCACACTTTCCTCATGGCATCTTTCACTTCCTTATTCCTGAAAGTGTAAATCAAAGAATTGAGCAAGGGAGTTAGGATGGTGCAAAATATGGCTACCATTTTGTCAAAGGAGAACGCAGATGGAGGTCGTGCATACACAAATATGCATGGGACAAAGAACAAAACTACAACAGCAATGTGAGATCCGCAGGTAGAGAGAGCACTCTGCTGCCCTTCAGTACTACAGGTTCTCAGAGAGAACAAGATGACCCTATAGGAGATGAGCAACAAGAAGATAAGGATGCAGATGAACCCACTGTTGGCAACCACCAAAAGGCCAAAGATGTGAGTGTCAGTGCAGGCAAGCTCCAGTAATGGGTATAAGTCACACATGAAGTGATCGATGACATTGGGGGCACAGAAGGGCAGCTGGAAAGTGAAGAGAATTTGTATTGTGGAATGAATGCAGGAAGCCCCCTGTCCAGGCTGCCCCTGTCAGAATGCTGCAGAGCCTCTGGCTCATGATAGAAGAGTAGTGCAGGGGTTTGCAGATGGCCACATAGCGGTCATAGGCCATGGCCGTGAGGACAGTCACCTCTGCTCCAGCAAAGAAGTGCTCAGCAAAGAGCTGGATCATACAGCCTTCAAAGGAGATGGTTTTCCTCTCAGAGAGAGAGTCCACGATCATCTTTGGGGCAATGGCGGAGGAGAAGCATGCATCCACGACGGACAGAAAAGCCAAGAAGAAGTACATGGTGGAGCCCAGGAGTGCTGGGCTGCTGCTGATGGTCACCACCATTAGCAAGTTGCCCCGACAGTTGTGATGTAGCCAAACAAAAACACAACAAATATTATTTTCTGAATATTTGGACTTTGTGAAAGCCCCACGAGTACAAACTCGTTACAAAGCTTTGGTTTTGCATGATTTCCAAGAAAAGGGTGAAAGCTACTACAGTGAGCATGTAGAAACTACAATTATGAGAAAGAAAAATCTATCTTATACCAGTTTATGGAATTATCATTGTCAATGAGTTTGTTCATCCATATGAAAAATTATCTAATGTACTTGTGCTTCTCTTGTCATTGACAACAACAACAACAAAAGGAAGTTTTAAGGCAGCAGTGGGATGTCAGGAAGGATAGGGATAAATTATTAAATACTTTAAGATCATCAGAGCTTCAGAATAGGGGAAAGATGGTGATCCAGTGCGGTAGGGATGAGAAATATATATTTTTTTTATCTCAGCTGTTAACTCTGATCACGTAGTAGTGGTTTCCTGAAGTGAACTGGGAGAAGGATTCTGTAGTCACATCCAAGTTTTCTGGAAAGGAGGAAGGCAGTTTATTAATCACAACTGCCAGGTGCTTGGAACAGGAGCGGGGATGACCTGCATGCCATCCCTGACCAGGAATCATCCTTATCTGCAAATAGAAGAAGAAATAACACCCAGTTTAAGAAGTGCTCGGAAATAATGGCTATTCCCCCAATTATTTCTTTAAAAGTCTGAAGTGAATTGAGCCTTTAAGATTAATTAATCAATTCTTTATAAAAGAGAAAGATCAATGGGAAGTCACTCTGCTGTAGACTAACATATAACAAGGATGCATGTGTTGAGTTGGTTTTTTTCCACTCATTGAAAACAAAAACAGAAGTTGACAAAAAATAATAACACCTACTAAAGAGTATTGTTATTATAACTAAGTTTAATAATGCAAGGAAGCATTTGTTCAGGGTCTAGTGTGTAAGAAACAGTCCATGTTAGGTCTTATTACCCCATTTTACTGGTAGAAAATATATGCCATTTTAAAGAGATAAAAATCAAAGAAATAATAGGTGCTGGGTCTCAAATGTTAACCCAGACCCCTGGCTCCAACGTCTAAGTCCTTTCCACTGGATCTACAGGGAAAGAAGCACTTTTCTAGCAAGAGCTTCAGTGCAGAGGTGGCCTTTGTAGGGTTGCTATCCACTTGAGAGGTTAAAACCTTCTGATTCCTTTGTTCATGTTTGAATGATGCCTCTTCTTGAAGGACACTGAGCAAATGATGTAGAATCAGAAGGTAATGGCCCAATTACTTACAGACACAAACTAGCAACAACCACATAGGTAAGGAATATAAATAATATGGTGAATATAGTCGGAGCCTTGAGGCTTCAACTATTTGCTAATTATTTATACTATATGTCCCAGTCTGATCAAGTACAGCTTGGCAAAATAAACATGTTTCTTAAATTTATATGACTATTGTAATGTAGGGAGGTTCGTATATAACCTTTATGTTCATCTCACAGGATTATAATGAGGGTCAAATTGAAAAATGTGAAACTGTTGCTTTTGATAAAATGTCCTTACCAGTTTTAGTCACTTTTCTCTCACTTAAAAATCCTGACACCTTACCCACAGACAGTTTTCCCTTGAGTTATCAAGGTTTTGACATAACCTATCCAGGATACTCCAAATTTTGATGTCATTTTTCATAGCAAGACACATCTGTGAATAATGATTGTGTCCTTACTTGTACATGTAAGAGACATTCACCAGTCAAATGACATGTGTGTGTGTACAAATAGGCAAGTAAAAGAATAATGAGGCTTTCTGTAAAAATCAAAAGATAAGTTTTTTTTAATGAATGACAGCTAACAAAAATAATTGAAAATTTTAATAAAACTAACAAATATAGAAGTGTGTATAGTAGTATCTGTCCATTTGTTTACTTTGAAATAACCATCTTCATTATGTTTCCAGGGCACCAGACATTCCTAAACAGTGCTTGCATTACGAACTCCATATCCAGCTACAGACTGCCATCAAGAAAACAAGATTATAAAACAAACCTATAAGATCATTGGATCAGTCAATGCCCATTTACCAAAAAGTAAAGAATGTCAATGTATGTTACAACAGTTATCAGCTTATCCTCAGATCAAGAGAGATGATGGAATGAAATGATTAAGAACACCAGCTCCAGGTGCACAGAGACCTCGGTACAAATCCAGGCTCTTCTACTAAGGTATATTATGTAATGAGAAAAGTTACTTAAAATTCTCAAGGACTCAGATTCTATTCTGGAACTGGGTATAATAATAGTGCTTCCTGAGAGGGTCCTTGGGAAAATCAGATAAGGCTGTGCTCATAAAACCATTTATGCATTTAGATGCACTGGAGGAAATTATGATAAATGGTAAGAACAAGCCCCCAAAGCAATTGACACAGAGCAGAAATAAGAATGTTTTTATTCCTAATTTCTGCTTTACCATGACCAAGGCTGAAAAATACCTTTATTCATTTTTTACTTATTCACAAATATAAAATATTTTCTTGGTCACAGTGCAGAAATTGTATGGTTTAAATCTGTAATACTTTTAAATATCTTTAATTATCTCTGAAATAAATGATTGTGGCCTTCAGACCCCGTGAGTCCACCATTTTTTCAGGCAGCTTCATTTTACAAATAAAATCAAATAGAATGAAGGGTGGAAAGGAAGACCAAGGTTCTATATTAATCTAACAATTAAATAATTCTTAGGCTCTCTACTTCCTTACTTGGGGAGTTTCTCCGAGAAACACTATTTTAGAATCAAAATGCTCATTAAATATAAACAAATCAAGCCTTTCTTTTTTTCAGATAAAATAAATTTCTAACATTATTGTTAAAGCTTTGACAATGGAGAGTATGGTGTCCTCAGAGTTTATGATCACAAGGTTTTTGATTTGAAATAGTTTAAAAAATAATTACCCTAAATGCATTTTGTTGTCCTGGATTGAATCCTAGAACAGAAAAGGGACAATAGTGGAAAAATTAGTGAAATGTGAATAAAATCTGGTGTTTCATTAAGAGTAATATATCAACATTCATGTCATAGTTTTGATAAATATACTCCTGGTAATGTTAGGTGATAATTATGAAGGAAAAATAACTGAGGAGGAGAAACCAGAACCCTCTATAAGATCTTGCAACTTTTCTATTAAACTAAAATTACTCCAAAGTAAAAAGCTAATTTAAAATAATGTCATAATTGTTCAATTCCTGATATCAAAAATGTAGTGATCACAGCTTCATAGCCATGTGTCACTGAAGAAGCCACAAAGCCTCTGAGTCCTCTCTCATAAAATAAGAATAGGTAAGTAACACTTGTTCAAACTGCTGGCCCATGAGAGTCAAACAAGACAGTTATTATTAACATGCTCTATAATGTACAATTCAAGTGGAAGATGTGAAATATTGATATACACATGATTTTACAATAATGCTTATACACACAAAGTGAGCTGAAGAATTGACTCTATCATATGAAAAAAGTATGTTTCTAAATCATATTTTTAATTATATCAAATCTAAATTGTAATGAAACTGCTTCATTTATTTAATCTTATTTGGAAATGTTTTCACAGTCATTTTCAGAATCATAAACATGTTTATATTCCTTATACTAGTAACCTTGACCCTAAAAATTGTTCTAAAAGTGAAATGAGGTGATGTAAGTTTTTTTAGTGAAAGATGGTGTCATTTATAAAAGTAAAAATTCAGAAATATCTAAAACATTGAATGATAAGATGTTTATGGAAATCAGTCTACTACAAACTAGTAGCAAAATATGCTATGAGTAAAACACTAATAATAAAAGGACAAAGATGGTGAGACATTTTTACAATATATCAAATGAGAAAAACAACAAAAAAATTGTAATAACCCTGCTCAGACATTTTAATATAATTTTAAAATCAAGAAGGAAACATATAAAAACGGTAGGGAACTTTTTTTTATTTTCAATAGGTATTTTGGTATAATTATAAAAAATTTAACATTAAAAATCAAGTTTAAAACCGACACCACCATATTTTTCATGATCTGAATATTTACTCAGAAAAAGATGAGGTTTGAGGGTAATTTTCTTATCCACCCAAGGCAATTAATTTGCATAGGTGGAACCAACATGCTAACGTAACATAGAATCTAAAAGGGTTTACCTTCTGTAAACCATCCACAGGTAGCTGAGCCATGGGCCCAGCTCCTCCCATCCTCTGTACTCACTCTGATACCAGTTTTCACTTCATATACTTCTACATGAAACAGCTTGTTCTGTTTATACCTCTCATTGAAGATCCCATGGTCTTTCCTATCTTGATAGTCATATTCTTTAAATGCTGGAGCTGCACAGGAAATTGCTCAGGTCCCCTCAAACCAGAAACTGTGGGCTCTGGGCCATGTCTTAGATCTGTGACCCTGGAAATTTTTCCTTCTGACTCTTACCACTACTCACTGTTTCCTTCCCATTTGTTTCAGCAACAACCCTATTGCAGCATCGATCATTCTGAAAATGATAGAGAAATTCCTCTTTCAACTTTGAAGTTGATATATTATGTAATATACATAGTAATTGTACTATTACATAGTGCTATGTAGTATGTTACATAGTAATTATACAGTATTATATGGTAAATATAATATTCAAAATTGTATGAGAAACTAGTAGTACAGTTGTCATTGTAAGCAGTGTCTTCTTATTATATTTTAACTTTAAATGAATAGATTTAAAGCTCCATTCTAATTACTCTCTGTGATAAGTTCCTTAAATCCTCTGAATTTTTGATCCAGGATTATTATTTACTTCATGAAAGATTTATTCTGTCTAGCTAAGCACATTCCTTTACTTCATAGTCTGAGAAATATGTTCTCTTCAGATTTCAGACCCTTTCTTTCCCCTCAATATTGCTCTGCTGATTTATCTAAATGTTTCAACTTTTATTCTCCTACTATTTCTAGAATTTGGAAAAAAGTAATCTTTCTAGCTTTCCACCTGCATTCTTCCTGATGGATGCCTGAGCCTTCTTTCCATCTGTTGTCTTAGTGACTTAGCTCATTTTACAAAAGAGACAAGGCCATGACAACTAGCACTAAAGCAGTTCAGAACTTCACCCATTTAAATATCTCAAACGATTCTGAAGGAGAATTCAAATGCTATTTATGACATCAAGTGCACGTAGGGAAAATTAAATGGGCAAATTTAAAATCAGAAGACTACACTCTGGGACTTGAGTAAGACACTCTTTCTTACCTTTCATGTCCTTCCCTGGGCTATTTTTAGCATTTATTTTTGGAATATTAAGTGCTATATTGCATATCAATAAGTCTCTAAATGTTAAATAGAACTTGAATTACATTGCTTCTACATTGATATTATTTATATAGCCTGAAAAAGTCCACTTTTTAACCTAAAACACCAAGATAAAGGACAGTGTTAGAGGATGAATGATAAATGAGAATATATAAAGTAACAAAAAAAAGCTAATGACTACCTATGACAAAATGATTCATTTGCTTCATTTCATAGTTATCTGGGTTTAATTTGAAGATGAAAAACTGAAGATAGGTCTAATTTTTAGACTTGAAAAGGTACTCCTAGCCCTCCAAAAAATGTTTGCATTCAAATAGCTGCTAATTATTGAGCACTTAAATTGCATCCAGTGTTGTCCAATTAACTCCACATGCATTATCTTGTTTCCAAATCCTTTGGCCTTGTTAACATATAATCTCAATTAAAAATGAACATTCTGAGGGAAACAAATTTGTATAACTGGCCCATGTGTACACAGTTACATGATAGACCCTAGCTTGCCTTAAACCTGGAAGCCTGCATCACGATACCCGTACTTTCAAGTACTACATCCCAATTTAAAGTCCTCTCTGAATATGCAAAAATGTGAATTATAAATCTCACCATGTTTCTGTTCCTCAAGAATTCTGATAATGACACTCTCTTATTCTCTATAGGAAAGTCCATCCGCTAGCTGGCCAAACATGAAGTATGGGTCCAAGTCTTACTTCTACAACTAAGAGCGGGAGGAAGGGCAACGCTGGCAGATGAGGTCAAGAATTTTCCCTGCTGCTTCTCAAGCACTGTCTTCAACATGGTCTCCAGGAAAAAATAAATAAAGAAGCAAAGTTTCCTCCTTGACTTCTAACTGGAATTTAAAGAAATTCCCCAAGAGATCATAAACCTGCAGAATTGCCTCTCAGTTCCCTCAGGGCTTGGAAATTTCCCATCATTACATTTTTCCAAGATGCAGTCTGTGGTTTGATGTGTTCAAGTGCTTGTAAACTTTTTATGCTCCCAATCAATTAGGGATTTTTTCTTTTTTCTTTTTTTACTTCTCCTGGTCTTCTATTTGAAGATTCTTTCATTTACCGTCATATTCAGAAACAGAAAACTGTAAACTGGGCCTGAATATAGTGCCTTAGCAGAATTGGGGTGAAATGCCTGTGTACATATTAAGTGAAAAAGATGAGTTCTGGGATGAGGCACAGCATCAGTCCACAAAGACATGTTCTGTTTGAGGATGAGAGCAGCAGTCTGTGCTTATTAAAGAATAACAATTAAATACATTTTTGCACATAAAAAATGAAAGGAATTGACATATAAAATAAAGGATAGAAAAGAGACATAATGAACACTAAATAGGCCAAAGAAATCAGCAAAAATTGATCACCACCTTCAGGACAGGTAGACAGTGGGATCCAAAATGGTTCCCATCATTATCACAAGCATAATTTGGACATGCTCACTCCCATTTGCTACTTCAAAATCTAGATGTGGGATAAGGAAGAGAAAAAATAATTACTGAAGTAGTTAAGATAAACATTTAAAAAATTGAACCTGAGGACGTAGAAATGGAGAGGAGAAGAAAGAACTAAAAGGTATTTAAGAGGCATAGATAGCAGTTTGGGTTCAACATTAATAATAATAAAAAATGTGACTAAAAAGCATATTACAAAAGTTATGGATCAGTGTGAGATATTGTGATTATTGTTGGAGATTTAGAATCACAGATAGAGAAGAAGTACTTAGGTATTTGTTTATTGTCCAGTCAGAGCACAGAAAGATACTCCCTGGGGTCCAAGCATCTCTCTTCCTGTTCAATTCCAGACTCCATCTCTTCTTGTTCTTTTTAGAAACTTAGATTAATGCCTCTGAAGTTCTTTAATACCATATATTTAATGGTGTTTTATATCATAACTAATAATGCTACACCATTTATTGATCTGCCCATAAACACTGCCTTCCAATTACTCTCTCAACAATATTTCCTTGTTAGTGAGCACAAATACAAATCAAAGGACCAGAATCTGAAAGAAAATACGAATGATAATGCATTTCCCAGTCATGTTATATGGACTGTAATTTCATAGAAGAAGTATACAATTACTCATCTTCCAACCATGTCTTCCCTTGAACACCTTAAGCCATAATGACTGCCTCCCTAGAAGGTGATATATGTCAGCACTGATGACATCCCTGCCTCGCAGACACCACCGCCAGCAAGCAGGGCAGATGAAAGACCTGACTGCAAGCGAAGAAAAGCGGTCCCACTCATTCTAATTATACCCCTCCTCACACATGGTTTAGACCCCACGCAGGCGAGCACCGTGCCATCCCATGGAGGCAAGAGAGGACTTTAATCAGAAGGACAAGCTCTCATTATGGAGCAAAAGTTTTAAAAGCCCTTACAAGAGTAAGGCACAGCCACCTCTGCAGAACTGACTGGCACATGACACAGAGCCTGTGGAAGGGCTGGGGTGACCTTGGGTGTCAGCAGGAGAGATGCACAGGATATAAGATGCTCACCTGAACTACTATAAATAGTAGCACTGCAGTCAGACCATGGACAGGTGAGAGCTGAGAAGAGCCCAGACCCCTGGCCCAATCCATGGGTCAGCAGGGGACTGCTTCAAGACCAGATCCTTGAATGTGTCCTGTGTCACCAAAAGTCAGCCTGTAAGCACCATTCTAGTAATCAGCTTAGTACACTATTATCAAAGAAATAATGTACCAGTTTTTGGAAACCATTTGCTGCTAGACTGCCCTCCTGGAACCAAGGTTCTGGCCACATGGTCAGAGATAACTTCCTAGGTGCAGAATTCAGTAACTAGGGGGTGTCTGGTGGATGCCAGGGGCAAGATAGAGCATCAAAGAGCATCTAGAGGAGAAAACAGAGATGAGGCCTGCCCAGTTTAATCCAGGATAGATTGCCCCACTAGAAGGCAATTCTGAGTCCCAGACATTGGAAGAAAACTTGGAAAAATTTTCAGAATACACTTCCAGATGTAGAGTTAAAAACAATATCTCTGCTTGTCCTGGTCCAAGGGTGGTTCTATCTAAAATATTGGTTCTTCACAGTTACAAATATGAAGTGAGTTAGCCATGAGGATGACTGGGAGAAAGCGTACCATGATGGTAGACAGTCTGTATAAAGGACCTACAGCAAGAAGGTAGCTAGCTGGCCAGTAAGAAGACCAGAATAGTGCCCGGCTAATCAGAGGAGTCAGTGAGGGACTGATCATAAGGGAGGAGTGTAGAGAGAAAAAAGGACAGCCAGATATGTCTGATTTTTACTAACTGTAAGGAATTTAGCTTTTACCCTGAGTGACATGGAGAGTGTTTTCAGAATACTGCATGGAAGTATGATAGGATCTGACTTATGTGTCTGAAGGATAATTCTGAGGCTGTGTTGAGGATAGAGTATTAGAGCAAGAATGCCAAAATAAAAGTAAGAATAGATGTGAGGGAATTGCAATAATTCAGGGGAAATACAATAGTGGTTTGGAACAAGGTAATAGATCGAAAAGTGATTAGAAGTGATTTAAATTGAAGTGTATATTGAAGATTAAGCCAACAGGATTTCCTGACAGACTGAACGTGGGATTGAAAAAAAGAGACCGAATGTGCCATCACCTGAGACAGAGAATTTGTGAGTGGAGTAGGTTTGGAGATGAGGGAAGAATCGGGGCACAGATTTCATGTATTCAGCTAAGAAATCTATTATGACTATTTAGGAGGAAATAGCATGGATGAAGAAAGAGCATGGGTTTCCTCAACCTCAGGAAAGAAGTCTGAGCTAGAGGTAACAATCTGGGAATCGTGGTCACGTAAAGCAAATGGGCCAAGGAAGGCTGGGGGAAATGATGCTGATGGAGTCGGTAAGATGAGAAGTGAGAGATGACAATTATGTTTCATGACCCAGAGGTCCTTGTTGACATTGAGAAGAGCTTTTTAATAATTGAAGTGTGGCTGAAAGGGTTTAAAGAGAATGGAAGGACAGAAATTGGAGACAGGTGTTACAGAATCTCTTGCTACAAAGAGGAGAGAATGGCATGAAGTAGTAGCTGATAAATGAAAAGGAATCAATGGAAGATTTAATGTTAAAGATGAACAGAATAATAGATTGCTTCTTTGCTGATGTAAACTGATTCAGTAAAAAGGGAAATGTAGATAAAACAAAAGATATAGAAGCTATTTTTAGACTAATGTCTTCATGTAAACAAGAAGGAAATGAGATCCAGTGTATAATAAAGATGTTGGTTGCCTTTGGATAGGAGCACATATAATGAACGCATTTTTAAGAGTAGGTAGGAAGGTAGCATGTAACTGAATGAGTGCTGGAAAACGGTAGATATAACTGGAAAAGTCTGAGGAAGTTCTCTTTGATGGCTTAAATTTTTCTGAGTGAAATAGTAAGTTTATTTAATGTCTCCTAATAAGTTGGATGTTGGTGGTAGTTTTTCAGGCCAATATTCTCTTTCAAATTAAAGCACAAATGTTATTCCTACTTGCAATGTCTTTTTATTATGAATAGTATTGAACTGTTCAATTCTGATACAGAGATCATTTGATTACAGTCTAATATTAACCACAGCAAGTTCCCCTAAAAAAGCAATAAGACCAATATTTATTTCAACATCAAAGTGTTAAAGAAACAAAGAAAATACAGTCATTGGCTGCCAATATGTTTAATTAGCAAAGCTACTTCATGTAAAGAAATTAGGCAGACCTTTAAAACACATAAGGGGAGAAATTTGTGAACTCTAATTGACAGATAATAATTTCAGCATGAACAGTCAGAATGGCTCAACTATGTAATAGAAAATGTAAATTCTGCACATACCTGTGATGCTGGAGAATTACCAAAAAGGTTACAATTATTTAATGTTAGGAATCTCATTATGACCCTTCCAGTTCTTTAATTCTTTAATTAAAATAGGAAAAATGATTATCACAAGGTTCTTACAGAGATCAAAGTTTTCACACTGTCAGGGGCTTTATCTTCTTCTCTGACATGAAGCAGGGTGAAGAATTACAAAATGAACGGAGAAGTTTAATTTTAAGATGCTGTGAGCAGGCAGTAAACATGTTCTATCACTGACATGCCAAGAGTTAAATGGAAGCTTTGCAAAGATGCTTGATGCCAAATTGCTGAGCCATCTTTAAGCTCATAAAGGATTTGATATTTAATTATTACTCTAATCAGAGTTGCTCTGATGCCCAGATACTTTCTGAACCTGAGGGTTAAAAACTGATTCCTTGTGAACCTTTCACATCTCACATTGTGCCACGTTCCCTCTTGTCCACTGTGCACTGGTCTCCTTGACCTTCTTCGCTTCCAGTTGGTTTCCTACCTTGCAGCCTCTGCACAAGCTTTTCTCTATTGCCTGGAACACTCTTCCCACTGATTGCTTAAGGATGGTTCTATCTCATCTTTCAGGACCTAGTTTAGAAATAACCTCTCAGAGAAGCCTCCTGTTGACCCAACTAGAGCTATCCAGTCACCCTGCACCACTCCGTTACAGTTTTCTGGAAACCATTTGTCTCTCTCTGACTTTATTTTCATTTCTATATGTGGTCTCCTGCTCTAGAATGTAAGCCCCAAGTTAAAAGGGATACACTGTCTTATTCATCCCTGTGTATCCCGATCCTAAAAGAGCATCTGACTTCATACAAACTCAGCAAATACTCTTCAGTAAATAAATGAACCTCATAGTTCTCAAAAATAGCTGGTGATAATTAACATGAAATCCCTATTGTAATACATATTTAGTGTTTAGAACTAAAAATACTGGTTTAAATGTTGTGCTTGTATGAAATACTGTAACTGATGTTGCCATGATTGTCATCATATGTCATATATGGTTTAAAATAAGAAAACTATAACAGAATGCTAATTTATGCTAAGACATTAGACTTCCCATATGCCTAGTTAAGGGAGACAGTTTAAAAAAGCATCAGTGCCTTTC